CACCTGATTAGCAAGGTACAAGCCCTCAGAGATGTACCCACCCCCACGACGAAGAAACAAGTGCGTCAGTTTTTGGGATTAGCTGGGTACTATCGTCGTTTTGTACCAGACTTCGCATCTATAGCCGCCCCCCTGTCAGACCTAACGAAGAACTCCCAACCCCGACAGGTACAGTGGACTACGCAATGCGAGTGAGCCTTTAACACACTCAAGGAACGGCTCACTCAAGAACCAGTACTACGACACCCCGACTTCACGAAGGAGTTTATATTACAAACAGACGCTTCGGAAGTCGGCCTAGGCGCAGTACTCTCCCAGGAAGTAGAAGGGGAGGAACACCCAGTACTGTATTTAAGTCGGAAGCTGTTCCCCCGAGAAAGACACTTCTCAACGATAGAGAAAGAGGCCCTGGCAGTACGGTGGGCTATCGACGCCCTCCGTTACTATCTGCTAGGGAATAGTTTTAAATTAATCACAGATCATGCCCCTTTGCGATGGATCCACAGCATGAAAGACACGAACGCTAGAATTATGCGGTGGTACCTCGCCCTCCAGCCTTACGACTTCCAGGTGCTCCACCGACCGGGTAAGGCCCATACTAACGCCGATTTCTTCTCCAGCCTAGGGGAGGAGGGCGAAGAATCGGATCAAGGAGGGGGATCCTTAGCGCAGGGGGTGGTCTGCGAGGGGGCAGTCAAGCTCCCATCCAACTGCCGAGCCCTAAACAGTTAGCCCTGACGGCAGAGGATCCATCACGCTTATACGGGGTGTGTCCCAAATGCACAGAGAGTGCGAGAGGAGGGAGCATACCCCAGCCTAGACAGACGGCCGGGGGAGGAGAACCCTTGCGGGAAGCCCCGGTGGAGGACCAGCCCACACTCCTGGAACCGCCGAGGACTGCGACTTCTCCAGGCCGAGAGGGAGCCTCACTGTGGGAGAGACCAGCCGAGGCGGTGGACCACGAGACCCGTGGAGAATCAGGAAACCCGTGGGACACTCCAGCAGCGGAACAGAGAGGAGGCAGCTTAAGGGAAGAGACGGACTGGTACGTCGGACCCGGTAAGCCTCAGCGTGTTTCGGTGGGACCCCCCCACTGAGACGGTGGATAAGCCAGGTTGCCCGTTGGCAAAGACTAATTTCCATGACAAGGGCTATGTTTCTAGACTTTGAGCCGGTAAGCCGAGCCACTGCGGGACAAAGGTTGCTTTCCGAGCTCTAGGCCATTAGGCCGGTTACGGATACCCCCCCCCCCCCAGGAGGGTTCTTAAGGGGGAGGGTGTGTGGTGGGGCGATTACCCCACACCCAGAGAGACTGGGCTGCGGCAGGCCTAGGCGCCTGCGTAGACGCGCGGCCAATCAGGAGAGGGCTTACTGGGAGCCAATAAGAAGGCAGATTGGAGTCAGCCAATCCGGGCCCGGCTTAGCCATATAAAAGGCTGCCCAGAGCAGGAGCAGTCAGTCTGTCCCAGGCCTTCAGAGGGGAAGGTCTGTCTCCAGAGCTGGGAGGCCAGCACCTCGGACAGCGCAGTGCAGGCCACCCTGAGAGAGTGGGAGAAGGCCCCACTCCATAGCCTGCTAGGCGGCAGGCCTGGGAGGAGGAGGCCTAGTGTAGCGAAGGGCTGTTGGGGAAGCGGTCCAGAGGGATAGTCAGAGGAGGAAGGAGAAGGAAGACAGGGAGACTGTCACCCGAGGGCCTCTGGACCGGGACTCAGAGTAGTGGGCGGGCCTGAGTCCCCCGCCCCTCCTTTTCCCCCCCTTTGTTTGCTGTGCTACCCCACGCACAGCCACGGGCCACAGGGAGCGGCCGGTCAGAACCACACCAGGTCCTGGACGGTGAAGATCGGACTCGAAGGTGTGGGGCTGTTGTTTACCCCCCCCCTCCCCCGGAAGGGGGTGTGAAGAGGCAAAAGGGACACTGTCGGAGGACAGTGCTCCAGAAGAGGACTCCGTACATTGAGGGTGACGCAAGTCCGCGCACCCAACACAGGTGGAACGACAGGCGGGACGCCACCCGAAGAGGCGCCCTACTGGTTCGAGCCAATTCCCCAAGACGACCAGGAGGAGGCGCCACAGCGGTGAGCTACTACCCTGTCACACGGGGATATGACAGAGGTCTATAAAATCATGACTGGTGTGGAGAAAGTCAATAAAGTATTACTACTTCTCATAACACAAGAAATAGGGGTCACCAAATGAAATTAATAGGCAGCATGTTTAAAACAAATAAAAGGAAGTATTTCTTCACACAACGCACAGTCAACCTGTGGAATTCTTTGCCAGAGGATGTTGTGAAGGCCAAGACTATAACAGGGTTCAAAAAAGAACTAGATAAATTCATGGAGGATAGGTCCATCAATGGCTATTAGCCAGGATAGGCAGGGGTTGTGTCCCTAGCCTCTGTTTGCCAGAAGCCAGGAATGGGCGACGGGTTGGATCACTTGATTACCTGTTCGGTTCATTTTCTCTGGGGCACCTGGCTTTGGCTACTGTCCGAAGACAGGATACTGGGCTAGATGGACCTTTGGTCTTCTAGCACCACTGCTCCCAACCACAACCTCCACTGCTACAACACTCCACCCAGCCCCAGGGCCCCTACAAATCTATCCCATCGCCAAAGTCCCCAGTTCACTCCAAGACGCCTGTCATGCCACCTCCAACACCTGCCCTCCCCACAGGGCTGGCCCACCGCCCCACGTGCTGGGGAGAAGGACTGTGCCGTTATGCACCTTGACCCACACCGCCAGAAACAACAGCCACGTCAAAATCTGCCCCAGGAACTCAGGCCCCTCCCACCGGGCAGGCAGGCAGTGCAGAGCAGCATATAGGGAGGCGCTCTGGCTACATGCCATGCTGGCCATTCCTGGAGGCACCTGCGCACTTAGCACTTCCCTCTCCATGGCTGAGCCCTGTGTCCAGGACAGCAGGGCGGGGGAATAAGGCAAGAGGGAGCTCTTGGCACTGAACACAAAGGCCCTGCATGAGGCTAGCACTAGCCCAGACACCTGCCTACCACACGAGTGCTTTAAATGGCCCCAGCATCTCCCAGTCCCAGGAGCTGGCCAGGCCTCAGCTCTGCAGCCAGAAGGGAAGGGCTGAAGTCCCAGCAGGGTGGAGGTGGCCGGGGCAGTGGTGGGCCGAGCCCAGCCTGCACACTCCACCACCACCACCACAGGGCTGAGATTTTTGGACCTATTCCAGGGAGCCTTCATGCAGGCTCCCTCCTCAGCGTGTGCGCACGGTATGGTGGTGTGTGCTCACGCGTGTGTGTTTGTGGTGGGTGTGAAGGCTGCGCCAAGTCCAAGCTGGCGTGCTGTGACGTTTTAAACACCCCCGAGTTAGCGCACGTGTGGGTCTAGGCCCCACATGCTGGCTTTGGAGCCACCATGGCGGCAGGGTGTGGGGCTGAGACGGGGGCTATGTGGCAGCAGGAGTCCAGGGGCACTTGGCCTGGCTCAGCCAGAATCCCTCCAGGGGCTCTGGGAAGGGGCCCTCTTTGAGAGGCTGCAGCAGGCCAGAGCCCCACTCTGGGGCACACAGACCCTGCTGCCTCTGGCCTGGACTTGTGGCTGGCATCAGTGCAGGCAGAGGAGTGGGACGGGAAGGGCCCGTGCAGTCTCTCCTGGCCCCTGGGGCTTGTAAGGGGCTTTGCAGTTGACCCCAAGGTGGGTGCTGAGGCTGGCTGTTGCTGTGACCCTCCTCTGGGACAGAAGGTAAGAAAGCGCCAGGAAATCCACACAACTGGCCAAAGCTGCAGCCCCTGAGGCTTTAGGCTGGGCTGAGCCTGGGGGTCTCACCGAGGAAGAGCTGGCAGCCAGGAGCATGGGGGTGGGGCTCACAGGAGGAGCGGAGAGCACACGTCAGGTCAGTTGCTTTAGTATTTTCAGGTCCCGGTTAAGATCATTCCTGCTGACTGTAACAGGCTCTGAGCTGCAGCCTGGCAACATGTCTGTCCTCAGTGACACTGCTCCTGGGAGCCCCTCCAGGCTAGCTGGCAGAGCACACACCAGGCCACAACTCACTGTAGCTAGCCGGCATCATGTAAAGTATCATCTGCAAACTGGCAGTCCAGTGGTCCTGAAATCATGGACAAAGAGTTACAGAGGCTGGAAATATGGTCTTAAAATGTGTTTGCCAGGCAGCCCATCGACCCAGCCTGTCCTAGACAAAGGAATGGGCATTTACTTGCTGGCCAGCTTGATTGCAGAGGACAATTGAAAATACATTTACATATAAGGTAAACAAAGCCAGCAAGTCGGGGAGATGACCACTTAACAGTCACCTCGGAGGATGGAGCCTGCATCCTGGGGAGCCCTCCTGGCTCTTGAATCAGAGACCATGAACTTTGGGGTAATATATGGAGAGAGCAACAGAGGGTCCTGTGGCACCTTTGGAGAGAAGGGCCAGAGACATTTGAGTCATCGATCCCCAGGAGACAAAGAGGAGCTGCACCTGTGGACTTAATGAAAGTGGATCTTCTTAGCCTGGGAGGCAACAGGAGCTGGAAACTGACTAGAGGTGAGAAACCTGCTTAGACAGAAATTGTAACGTGCTGAAATTAAGTTTGAGTCACTAGGAAGCGTGTTTTGGGTTGTTTTATTTGTAACTCTGCCTGTCTCTTTCATCCTTTCCTATCAGCACTTAAATCTCTGCCCTTTGTTAATAAACTGATTCTGGTTTTACTACAAAACCATCTCAGCTCAGGGTAGTAACCTGGAGCGTGAGCTCTCAGCTCACCTACCAGGCTGCTGTGCATACTTTCTCTTTGGAGGCAGCAGGGGGAGAGGGACTAGGCACTGCAGGGAGATGTCTCTGGGGAGCTCGGGAACTGGGCCCCCTGGCTGTTGCCTACTAGGCAAGGTTGGACTGATGGAGTCCTGTGGAGTTTGCTGGCACGGCAGACAGGCTGGTGTGTCAGGGAGCTGACCCAGAGCTTAGCAGCTGCTGAGGCTGAGAGGAGTCACAGGGGGACCCCAAGTGAAGCATCACAATCACGCTTGGGGCTCTGCAGACCAACATTCCCTGCTCAGCACTGCCTCTCCAATACACAGCTAGTCTCAGGCCCTTCCCTTAACACACACAACGGCAGAGTCCATGGACAAGCTGGAAGGCCCTGGCTGGCTTCATATAGAAACCCCCGGAAGTGAGGTGGCCCTTCTTTGCTGCCTGCTGCAGCCATGGGGCAGGAAACCACTGACAGCCCTGGCCCATTACTGCCCATGCTGAGCGGCAGGAACCTCTCATATTAAAGAGCTCAGTGGCTCTGGATCTGTTACTAGTCTGGTGGTTTCAGTTCCCCAGGAGTCTGGCTGAGGGTTGTCTACACTTACAACACTGTCGCACGTCAGTGTAGACTCTGCCAAACTGAGGGGAGGCCATCTCCCATTGGTGTAGTTACTCCACCTCCCCGTGAGGCAGTCGCTAGGTAAGGGGAGAAGTCGCCTGTCGACAGAGCGCTGTCTGCACCGGGGGTCAGGGCGGTTTAACTGCATCACCCGTGGAAGGGGTGGGAGGTGTGTGTGTGTGTGTTTTTCACACCTGAGCAACGTAGTTCTACTGACCTAACTGCCTAGTGGAGACCAGGCCTCATGGCAACGCCAGGGCAAGCAGAAGGCCCTTTCTAATCGTGGTCTAACAGCATCACTTCCCAGCCATCTGCCAGAGGGAGGAGCCTCACCAGCTCTAGCCTGCATGGGCAACACCCAAACCAGCTGGAACAGGAGAGGTAACCAGCTGTGAGTCCCACCCACAAACCGGAGGATCTGGGCAGGGCAGGAGAATGTGCGGTGGTGCTGTTCTGTGCCAGTAACTGAAGAGCAAACCCAGGCTAGCTGAGCCTGCAGTGAAGCATGAGATTAGATGAGGCGAAATATGCATGTTGGGTGCAACCACTAAATGAATTACACTGGGTTTGTCTATATGGCGAATTAGTATGTGGCAATCTGGGGTGTAAATCTACAGCGCTCCAGCCTACCATGCGCTAAGGCCATGTCTACATACGGGCACTACAGCAGCACAGCTACACCACTGTAACACAGTACTGTAGCTGCTTCCAACAGCAACAAAAGGGGTTTCCCCGGGGATATAGGTAATCCACCTTCCTGAGCAGTGGTAGCTGATGGAAGAATTTCCCATCAACCTGGCCACGTTTACAGCAGGGTTTAGGCTGGTAGAGCTACATCACTCAGGGCGCGCTCTGTCACTATGCTGCTCAAAAGTTTCAGTGTAGACCAGGCCTGTCTGTATGGCCCCTGTTGTTGTGCACTAGGAAGTGTAGCACACTGCTATTCACTAGGAGGTGTAGCACTACTGTGCACTAATGGGGTGTAGCACGCTGCTGTGCACTAGGGGGATGTAGCACGCTGCTGTGCACTAGGAGGTGTAGAACACTGATGTGCACTAGGGGGTGTAGCACGCTGCTGTTTCAACAGACACAGATCAAAGCACACTTGGGAACGTTGAGGCTACGTCTACACTTGGAGCTGGGGTGTGACTCCCAGCTTGCACAGACATACTCACACTGGCTCTCATCGAGCTAATGTGCTAAAACCAGCAGTGTAGCCATCGTAGCACAGGCAGCGGCAAGTGGCAGCATGGGCCAGTCCCTCCGAGTGCAAACCCGCCTGGACCCCATGCGCACGTACATGGCACTGCTAGCCCATGCTGCCACTAGCTGCTGCTGGGGCTCCCCAGATACACTATTTGTAGTGCACTCATGTGTATGTCTGCACAAGCTGAGCGCTGTCAGTGCACAGTAGCAGGGGCCTCCTGGACAGTGAGTGGGGCGCCGGGGCTCTGGCTTCATCCCTCCCCCCCTGGGGCGGCGGGGCTCTGGCTTCATCCCTCCCCCCCTGGGGCGGCGGGGCTCTGGCTTCATCCCTCCCCCCTGGGGCGGCGGGGCTCTGGCTTCATCCCTCCCCCCCTGGGGCGTCAGGGCTCTGGCTTCATCCCTCCCCCCGGGGCGGCGGGACTCTGGCTTCATCCCCCTGGGGCGGCGGGGCTCTGGCTTCATCCCCCCCGGGATAGTGGAGCTCGGGGTGTCAGCCCCCCGGGGTGGGGGTCTCAGGCTGTCAGCCCCCGTGGCAGCGAGACTCAGCTTTCAGCCCCCTGGTGGCAGGGCTTGGTGTTTCAGCGCCAGCCCCACGGCAGGGGGACTCGGGCTGTCAGCCCCACCCTGCCTTGGGCTTCAGCTTCAGCCCCCTCCCCCCCCCCCCAACCATACCCTGATTTTGTACATTTTTAGCGTGACTATTCAATGAATTTTGCTTAATTTTACCATGACAAAATCGTATCCCTACTGACTTGTATCAGTAAAATCAAAACCCAGAGCGCAAAGAATGCAGCAGAGGTGGAAGCTGCTCTGAGGATATTTCTCAACAGTTGATTTACCTCAGTCTGGTGCCACTTTGCACTGCTCATATAAATAGCATCCATATAAATATCTACAAATCTGGTGCAAAACACAACACAGGAGTGACTGTTAATCCCCCCGCTCAGTTAGTGTGAGAGAGAAGGAAGCCCTGGGATTGAGTCTGAACCAGACAAACAAGTAGCCCTCACACTCTCCAGGTATAGCTACACTACAGACACGCCAGAGGCACAGCTGCACTGCGTCCCTGCAGTGTAGACACTTATTACAGCAACTCAAGGCGGGATTGTTAGTTAACCTGCCCCGTCGTGCGGCGGCAGCAGGATCAATGGGAGAATTCTTGTATCTACAGTGGGGGTTAGGGAACCCAAATAGTGCCCAGAGTGGGACATTTTCATAGCCCTGAGCAATGTAATTAGGCTGAGCTAAGTTTGGGTACAGACCAGGCCTCTGAAAGCCAGCTGGGAAACCCTATGCCGAGTGGAGAGAAGCACCAAGTAATGGGTCAGATCCTTTGGGGTTTTCTATTCCAGCGGGAGTAAAGGTCTAACACAAGGATTAAAGAGAGCTTCAAGTCCAGCCTGACTATGTGGGAAGACGCGTGTTTAACAGCAGTGTGAAGGGTGGGCTGAGGAGGGGGGGGGAGGGGGGAGACACGCCTGGCTGGGAATTCCCAGCTCACAAGTGGCCTCAGACTTTGCCTGTCCCTCACCCGTACCCAGGTCATGGTGAGGGTCACAACCAGTTTGGCTCCTTCATTCTTTTCCGCTCCTCACTTTGCTGGCCTGCTGCAGCTCCTCTCTAGTTTCTCTACTTGTCACTCTGCTGGTCCCAGCTCTGCCACTGAGGCCTGGTCTACACTTGACCGCCAGGCTGACACGGCTACATCAGTCAGAGCTGTGACAAAACACCCCCTGACGGACCCAGCTCTAACCTAACCCCTGGTGTCCGCTGGGACAGGTTGTGTCTGTACAGCCATAGCACTGTCGTCTCCATAGTGCAGACGTGCTCTGACTCTCTGACCTGTACAAAGGGGACAGCCACCTTGTAAAGTGCGCTAAGCTCTCCGGGTGAAAAGCCGCCGCGTTATTACGCTGAAGCCATGCAGCGAAAGCAGCACCGCTACTCCCACGGCTCTCAGAGAGGCTCCTCTGCTTAGCTCAAGGGAGAGAGGTACAGAGCTGATGTTTGTTGCAAATCTCCCCACAGCCAACCCCAGCTGGGACAGATTCCTCCCAACCAACGAAAACCAAACAATTTTCCCAAATCATTATCGCTCTGCTCCACAGTGCTACGATCACAGTGTATCACAAGTTCTAAGCGTGAAATACAACTACCCAGAAAGGGCAGCTTCTCCACTCCTCTTCCTCCTGATGCAGCATTACAAAGAGTCCCAGCACCTTCAGTCACCGGCAAACTGTCCTTAAAAACTTTGGTATAAAGTGTCAATTTCTGGAGCCACAGCCATGGTCCTCTGGGGAGCCCAGTCTCTGACTGCACTTATCCATTGATGATCTTCTGGCTGATGTACCCAGGCATTGTGTAGAGTAAAAGGACCAGGAAGATGGTCACCACAGCAATAATGACCAAAGCAATGATGTACTTCTTGTACCGCTTCCAGATAAAAAAGATGAAGGTTTTCATGGGATTCACAAACCAGTTGAAGGATGTTTTTGGACGGCTAGAACAGAGAAAGGAAAAGGCTGTTGAGCTCAGACAAAGCAAAGCAAAGCTTCACCTAGTCGAATTCAGAGCCCTGGAAATCTACAACATACTGTAGCTGCTGCTACTCACGGGCTGCGGATAACCAGGTACCAGATCAGTGGAGATCAGCCTGAATCCCTGAGCCCCCAAACTCAAATTGATGCCTGTGCCCACAATGTCTTCCTTCAAAACAGGACCCCATTCCCTGCATTCATTTCACTGCCAGCACAATCTGGAGGCTTCGTAGGATTCTTGCACAGACATTAGACCAGGGTAGTCGATGAGCAGACTGCGGGCCAAATCCGGACTGCCAGACACTTTTGAACAGACCACGAAATCTTTGTATTTACTTATTATTATCGTTGTTGTTATTTTTGTATTATTTTCTCTGGAGCCTGGACCCTGCACTAGACCAGAGTTCTGCAAGGCACCCACGCTGTAGATGACAAATAGGCTCGTCCCGGGGGGGGGGAGGGAGGGACTTTTCACCCCCCGCCCCACACACACACTTTTCATCCTCTGAGGCATGCAGAGCACACACCTGCAGGCCATGGGAAACATCCGGCAGGGCTGCAGAGCGCTGGAGGATGACTGCACTGGCAGCTAACTAATTGTTCTCAATTTTTGCACCAATGTAACTAGCTCACTAAAACCAATGTAGTTACATCAGTGCACCCTCCTAGTGCAGGCACAACTACAGTGATACACAAGCCCTGTCGCTTGTTTCAGTAAATATTTCAGAACCGCTCTGCCCAGGGACTCTACCTGCAGCCTCAGCCAGGATGGCTCTGCCCCAGGGACTCAGCCCACACTCTCAGTGGAGATGGCTTCACCCCAGGGACTCCGTCTACAGCCTGAGCCCCGGAGTCCCCAACAACTCAGTGTCTCTGGATTCTGATCTTGGTTCCATTAAGCCTGAAAGCTCCTCCCTTTTCCCTCAGTGCCTGTGCGCAGGCTGACCCAAGCTGAGAGCAGGCATGGTATCAAACCCCAGCCTACATTCCAATGCCTCTCTGCCTGGCACGTGTACATGGCACAAGTCGGCAGGGCCTGCTGAAATCCACACTTGAATACTTAAGGAGCTGAGGAGATCTCTGAGCCATTTGCGATTCTCTTCAAAAAGTCATGGAAGACGGGAGAGATTCCGGAGGCCTGGAGGAGGGTAAATATAGTACCCATCTATAAAAAATCTATAAAAAGGACAACCCGGGGAATTATAGACCAGTCAGCTTAACTTCTGAACCTGGAAAGATAATGGAGCAAATAATTAAGGAAGCAATTAGTGAACATCTAGAAGATAAAGTGATAAGTAAAAGCATGGAATTGTCAAGAACAGATCAGGTCCAACCAACCTGAAAGCTTTCTTTGACAGGGTAACAAGCCTTGTGGATGGGGGAAAGTGGTAGATGTGGTATATCTTGACTTTAGTAAAGCTTTTTCTACTATCTCACACAACCGTCTCATAAACAAACTAGGGAAATACAACCTAGATGGAGCTAGTATAAGGTGGGTGCAAAACTGGTTGGAAAACTGTTCCCAGAAAGTAGTTATCAGTGGGTCACAGTCATGCTGGAAGGGGCATAACGAGTCGGGTCCTGCAGGGATCAGTTCTGGATCCGGTTCTGTTCAATATCTTCATCAGTGATTTAGATAATGGCATAGAGAGTACACTTATAAAGTCTGCAGACAATACCAAGCTGGGAGGGATTGCAAGTGCTTCAGAGGATAGGATTAAAATTCAAAGTGATCCGGACAAACTGGAGAAATGGTCTGAAGTAAATAGAATAAAATTCAATAAGGACAAATGCAAAGTACTCCACTTAGGAAGGAACAGTCAATTGTACACACACAAAATGGGAAATGACTGCCTAGGAAGGAGTACTGCGGAAAGGGATCTAGGGGTCATAGTGGCTCACAAGCTAAATATAAATCAACAGGGTAACACTGTTGCAAAAAAAGCAAACATCATTCGGGGATGTATTAGCAGGAGTGTTGTAAGAAAGACACGAGAAGTAATTCTTCCGCTCTACTCCATGCTGATTAGGCCTTAACTGGAGTATTGTGTCCGGTTCTGGGCGCCACATTTCAGGAAAGATGTGAACAAATTGGAGAAAGTCCAGAGGAGAGCAAAAAAATGATTAAAGGTCTAGAAACCAGGACCTATGAGGGAAGTTTGAAAGTATTGGGTTTGTTTAGTCTGGAGAAGAGAAGACTGAGAGTGGACATGCTAACAGTTTTCCTGTACATAAATGGTTGTTACAAGGAGAAGGGAGAAAAATTGTTCTTCTTAACCTCTGAGGATAGGACAAGAAGCAATGGGCTTAAATTGCAGCAAGGGAGGTTTAGGTTGGACATTAGGAAAAACTTCCGAACTGTCAGAGTGGTTAAGCACTGGAATAAATTGCCCAGGGAGGTTGTGGAATCTCCATCATTGGAGATTTTTAAGAGCAGGTTGGACAAACACCTGTCAGGGATGGTAGATAATACTTAGTCCTGCCATGAGTGCAGGGGACTCGACTTGACAACCTCTTGAGGTCCCTTCCAGTTCTGTGATTCTATGATTGATACTCACTTGGGCTTCTCTAGGGGTTCAGGCTCTTTTCGGCCCAGACCAACAGGGCTCTTCTCGGCCTCCTCCACAGTCAGTAGCTGGAACTCAGCTTCCACTTTACCCTGCAGAGAAACGCACTTGAGACACACTGGTGTCTTCAGGACGAGCCAGGCTGATACTGTCTCGTCTAGAGTCGCAGGGCCAGGTTTTCGACGGTTGCTCAGTGGGAGTCAGGCACCAAACCTGCTCAGGCACTTTGAAAATCCCACCAGGTACCTATCTGCATCTACAGGCACCTAAATACCTTTGAAAATCTGCCCCTCGGGGCCTTTCTGGCCTCTGTGTCCCAGTCCCCTGCACAGAGTGGCCTCAGGAGCCTCTCACAGCTCCTGACACTCACTTCTCACCAGTGCCATCAGGAGCGAGTCAAGGCAGCATCCAGACACACCCGTGCCCCCAGAGCCCTGGCAGGCTGCCTGCCCATGCAGCCACCTCCTCGAGGCTCATCTCCTAGAGCAGGAGCTGCCCAGCGCAGGGCTCTGCGCACTGTGCCTGTCATGGGGGGTCGGTGTGTCGAGAGGCGCTGCCCCGTTTGCCCAGTGCAGGTTGATACCCCCCTCACAGGGCCGTTCCTGGTGCTTTAGATATATCCTCCTGAGCACGGACGCTACAGGACCGGCGAATGTCCACTCGAGACAAGTGCTCAGCACAATGACTGCCCTCTGCAGAGATCAGGCACAAAAGGCCTCCCTCTTCCACTTGCCCAGTGAGAGAAGCCAGAGGCGTTGTCCCAGCAGCCCACCGGGAGTGAACACGACCTTCCTCCCGGCACACTGAACCCAGCCTGCATTCCACTGTGGGGCCGAGTCCCACTGGGACACCGCTGGGTGCTGCTGCATGGAGCTGTGAGCATGGGCGCATTGCAGCCATGCTTCCTCAGCTGCTGGCACCTGGTTGGTTTGTGCAGCGAGAGGGGGAACCTGGCGCAGGCGTATCAGCAGCACGCTAGGCTACAGACCCTTCCCCTCCCTCTGCTGAGATCCTGGCCGCACCTGTCCCCACACACCTGCTGATTTTCACATGCCCTGTCCATGGCCCCTCAGAGCCCCAGGACCTCCTGGCCACCCTCTTCCCGGCTGGGAAACTCCAACTAACCATTGCCAAGGTCAGGGGACATTTCAGCTCCTAGCCCCCATCCCCGGCTACCAAATATTCCTGCCCTTGGGGGGAGCGTCCTCACTCAAACCACAGGAGTCTGCTCAGGGCCTTGGGGGAAATGCTTGCCAAGTCTAGGAACACATCTCACCGCTATGGCTGATTTGGTAACTGCCAGTGTCAGGCTCTGTCTGAGTCCCAGGGGGATCCTGGGGCAGCCAACCCCACGCCCTCTCCTGTGCTTTTTGACAGGAATCACAGACCAAGCAGGAAAGAGTGAAACATCTGCGAGATCCAGGCAGAGCTCACTGGGGAACCAGGCCTGACTTCTTGCTAGCCCAGGCAGGAAGCTGGAACCAGCCGGGAGAGGAGGCTGCCCTGTGCCCAGGAACAGGGGACTCAGAGAAGCAGTAGCACCCCCACCAATGACAATGCCGTCACACCAGCCCTCCTCCTCTCATCTGCACATCTCCCATGGACACTGCTGCCCCCAGCAGACCACTCAGCTAAGCAAACAAGCTCTGAACAGTGCTGAGCTGGAAGCTGAGAGCACCAAGCTATGACGCTCTCTGCCATACCCACCGGTCCTGGGACATGCAGCCCCACGCCCACTACAAAGCTTTTGCAGTTAGCCATAGGCATGCCAGTGCCCAGCTGCAGGCCTCACACTCCACAGAGCTCAGGCAGGCACTGAGCACTGCCTCACAGCACAAGGGCTCTGCCCCTCTCTCCTGCTCCTTACCGTCAGGAGGTACTTGTTCCCACTGGGGTCTGTAAACTCAATGTCTTCCGGCTTAATCGACCTCCTCTTCTTCTTCTTCTTCTTCTTCTCCTTGGCCTCTCGCTCCTCTCGCTCCTCATCTTCCTGGTCTTTCAGTTTGATGAAGGGCCACCAGCCCCTCATCCGCTTGTTCCGGAAGATGGAGAAGCGGGGGGTGGCCTTTTCCTTGGCCATCTTAACGGTGCACTGCTCAGAACTCTTGGCTGCCCGCACCATGTCGTTCAGCTTCAGTTCAATGGACCCTTCAAAGACAGGCAGGAAGTGAGGACCTCAGGGGTCAATCATTAATGTAAATGCAAGTAACACATTAGTGCTAGCATCAACATGCTGCTTGGCCTGCACCCATCCCAGTCCCCAGAGAATCAGTCACAGGCAGTGATTGTTGGTAGCTCTCAAAGCAAAGATCCATCAAGAGTGTGATCCTCACTTTAGGGATGGGGAAACTGAGGGTCGGAGGGAGAGGAAGTGACTTGCCTCACATGCTGAGTTGGTGGCACAGCCTGGAACAGAAACCAGATCTCCTGAGTCCCACTCTTCCGGCCTAGCCATTTGACCACTCTGTCTCCTATACAGAGTCACACCTGAGCAATGCCACATTATCCCTTTCATCAGTACCTCTAGGTCTAAATCTACCCTCTTCTCACACCCCAGCTTGTCCCTCATGTTCAGTACAGAATGATAAAATCTTGACACTGGGGTGGGAGAACACTTTGTTCAGGCTACAGCCAGGATGCCAGCACCATCGCCAGCTCTCTCCAGTTCTATTTCCCTCATTTTGTGTCTTTGTCACAAATGTAAGCAGCTCATGTCCCAGAAATACCACGATGCTCTGGGTCTAATGTTCTCTTCTTGCCATCAGTAGATGGCACTGCTGAGCAGGTTTGCTTTATATGCCTTTCCAGGCCAATGAAGCCTTTTGAATTGATTGGCAATGGGTTCATGAATAAAAGGAGCTTTTCTTGGGGTTAAAGGTGTTACCCAGAGCTGGACGAAATGCAGGATTTCCAGCTCACAGGAAATTTCATTTTTAAAAATTTGGTTTTGTTCCAAATCGTAACGAAGCTAAATTTTTAGAAATTTCCTGAAAACCAGAAATCCTGAATAAACACTGTTTCAGAAACATTGACGCATGCTGCTTCCCACACAAAACCAGCTCCCGGGACTCCGACAGCAGCTGAGTAAAACTGACATTCTTAAAGAGACATGGTGGGGGAGGGAATATCTTTTATTGGACCAGCTTCTGCTGGTGAAAGAGACAAGCTTGTCTCTCCAATATCCTGGGACCAACACTGCTACAGCAACATTGCAAATGCCATTCTTGTCAGTTTCACTGCTGCTGTGAGCAGAATCTCTGCTACCACAGGAATGTCCGGTTCACCCAGCAGCACCAGGGGCTCTAAGGGCCTGCAGCTCTGGGGCATCCTCACCATGGGGACAAGAAGCCCAGGCTCTAGGCTCCTGACTCTGCAGCAGGAAGCCTGGAAGAGGGAGTTCTCTGCCCTTCCAGGCTCCCGGCTGTGAAACCAAGAGCTGACCAAGGGCTTTCAGGCTCCTGGCTCCACAGCAGGAACCTGGAAGCCCTGGCTTGGCTGTGTGCCCCGGAGCCCTAGAATCTGGAAGACTGGGGTCTCCTGAGCATGGGGCAGCCTATACGGTGGGGCTGTCTCAGAGCTGTGGCCCCTGGAACCCTGGGCTCCTTTGCAGCCTGGCAAGGTGGCAGGTTTCCCACAGAACACTGAACATGTGGTGAATCTGAGCTGTGTCTATGAAACGCTCCAGGTTCAGTGAATTGGCATTTTCCACACAAACTGTTTCAGCAGAAAATTTCCATCCATCTGTATTACACCTCTACCCCGATATAACGCTGTCCTTGGGAACCAAAAAATCTTACCGCATTATAGGTGAAACCGTGTTATATCGAACTTGCTTTGATCCGCCGGAGTGCGCAGCCCCGCCCCCCGGAGCACTGCTTTACCGCGTTATATCCGAATTCGTGTTATATCGGGTCACGTTATATCGGGGTAGAGGTGTATTATGCTTGCAATATAGCACATCCATATGCTTATGTTCCCCTCAAAGGGCCTAGTGTTTAGGGCCGAGGTTCAAAGTTTGGATAACTTAAGCCTAACAGAAGTAGGGAGCATTTCCTGCATAGTCTGAGAATGAAAGGAACATCCTGAAAGGAGAGAAGACTTGTCAGCAGTCTGCCCATGGTATTTCTAAGGCACCTGCCACCATGGCACCTAAGTGCCATCAGCATCACCAGCCACTACCTCTAGGCTGAAAGCTTCCTCCTGCAATCAAAGGCCCTGGTTCAGGCTGATCCTCTGACACAACAGTATTTCTAAAGCTGCATGAGGGCTCCAAGTCCCTGGACAGGGGGAGCTCAGAGGCAGCGGGAAGGTGGTTATGCAAGAGCCAGAGAGAAGGAGAAGGTCACTATGCAGAGCAGCAGTGGGGTCAGCTTTGGAAGAAGCTGCTCACTCGCCCCCTGTTCCATGGTTAGGGGGAACAGTACTGCACAGTGCAGAGATGGGTCCGAAGATGAATAACTGGCTTGAATGAGAGAGTTTAATCCCAATGCCAGGAGTCAACTGGAACCTGGTAGGACCCTGGTGTTGTAAGCAGCAGTTCTACCAGTGGGCTAAGAGGGAGCCTACAAACATAACAGAAGGCAAGTGAGCTTCCTGCAGCCCCAGCTCATCTCGACTGGGAGCCATTTCCTGCAAAGCTCAGGGTGGGTAGCCTGGGCAAGCGGAGCAGGCAAGGCACAGAGAAACAGCCCCCTTCTCTCAGCAGGAGGATACTGTACCTAGAAAGTCATTCGCTGAAATCCTGTCATAATCCCAGACCTGAAGGACCAGGACAGCTGGCTCCCTAAACTCAGATTCCTCCAGGGAGAAGATGGAGTCCTTCTTCTTATAGGAGATCTCCTTCTCGGTAGGGAGGTAGTCGAAGTGGAACACAAACCTCCAGTTAAAGTTGCCTTCCCCAGTCAGGGAGTTAAAGTGAACGTCTGTTTCTTGTTTCTCATGGTCCAGACCTTTGATCCAGCTGCAGAAGAAGCTCAATTAACATCAATTGTCATGTTAAAGCAGCCCCAAGTGTCAGCATCACTAAGCTGCGGGGGTGCTGGGAGCGAGGGCCCCAGGCTGAGTCACTGCCCGACAGAGCCTCACAGCAACAAATAATAACAGGCTTAGCCAACGAGGCTCAATTGATTCAAAGGCAGACAGGAGCATGTCAGGGGGGCCAGGTCTATGCTGGGCCACAGCCATTATGAGGGCTCTAAAGGGGCCTCTCTCCAGCCTCTCTTTTTGGGGGTTCAAACCCCACCATTTACATGGTCCAGTATCGGATTATGGGGACAAATCAGGCACTTGGTTTTCTAAGTAATAGGAACTGAGCCCACAACTAGTTGCTGATGCAAAAAAATGCAGGAAGGAATTGCACGCTTTGGTAAGCTGGTCCAAGATGTGTAGAATCTGCATCCCATGTTAAGGGGAGACAGGGCCTGGGCAGGCTCAGTCATAGGGATAAGGACTGACGTGTTCTGAAGAACAAGTCTGGGCTGGGTATCAGGGCCAAGGCCTTTGTGGGTAGACTAAATGGACAGTGAGCTAGACTCCCCCAGGAGGTGGAGGCCCCATGGCTGGTGAGATACGAGGAGGGGCTGGTGATGTCTGTGGGACTCAGGCAGTAGGGAGTGCTGCACGGTGTCCAGGCAGGGTCAGACTGGACAGGCCAACCACTCATTCTCTGGCCCTGCGGCTGTCTCTGCTCATATGATTCCCCATCAACTCGGGCACCTTTTCACGTAGATGTCGCTGGAGGTTTCTCCTGTTATTGGATTAACGTCATCAAGAACCACGTCGTCTGTGTTCCAGATGATGACACGCAGCTCGTAACTACCAGAAGGGAAAGCCAAGGGCAGGTGAGAAGCACATTCCAGTTCAGTGTTTGTCAGGGCCAGGCGAAGCTACCCCCCTGGGACAATGGCCTGCACCAGCACCCACTCAGCCCGGCCACCCAGCCTAGTGCTGTGCCTGTTGCAGCTCAGGCCAGGGGCCCAGGACACCTCGCAGAAGGCCCCTCTCATGTCACTCTGGCCCAGTTTTGCAGACTCTAGTACGAAGAGGTGTCTGAACCAAAGCACATCTCCAGCGTACTGGAATCTGCCCAGCATGAGTCAGGCAGAAACAGCAGCAAGAAGAACAATAATGGCCCAGCCTTAGGTTTTTGAGGCACCTGCGCTGAGCTGCGTGCTGACAATGGTACTGCTTCAGCTTAGACGCTGCTGTCTGGGGTTTGGTCTCCGCCTGGAGCAGACGTAAACCCAGGGGACACCTCTCCTCCCAGCCACGTCTGTGTGAGGGGCAGAAGCAGCTTTCCCTCCTCTCAGCCACACGGCATGTGGGGGCAGTGGGAGTCCCTAGGAGAGCAGGATGAGGTGAAGCCTGCAGCCCCCCTGAACCAGCATAGAGAGGAAGCCATGGAGATGTGCCAGGGGCCCAGAGCTGAAGCAGTACCACTGTCATGGCCTAGCTGTGAGCCTCCAAGGCTGACAGACCAGTTAGTCTGCCCTTCTCACCCAGTCACTGCCTTCGTGGGCACAGACTGCACGGGAGTCATGCAGAGTGGGACCCCAGGTTGCGGTTATAAACACTGGGTTTGTAATGGCTCCGTCCCCATCTCCTACAGGCCTGTACCTGATTGGCAGCCGTGGCTTGATATTGACAGGGGGAGGTGCTGGGACATCATTTGGAAACATGTCAATCCACATGTGGAGGGAGCCCTGCAGAAAGGAAAGAGCTGAGCTGCTTCAAAGGATTCACCAAGGCTGAATTCATGAACAGATTTACACTCCCTCTCCCTGACCTCCAGAGAACCCTGTTCCCAAAGCCACTGACCCTTCCTCACACTTCTGGGTCACAGCAACCCTCACAGCAAGCCCCTCAGGATACAGAGAGCACATGCCATCGCTGGGAAAGGCCTGCCACATTGTAGAAGTCGCTTGTATTTAAAATGTTTCCTTATTGGGGGAGGGAGTATTTTAAGGAATAACGTCTGCTCACAACATTATTACCATGGGGTTCACCAGCATCCTTCAAAATGGTTGAATACAAGTTATTTATTATGTAAAACTGAACTAGAACATTTCTTTTCTATCTCACAATAGCATCACTTCACTAGATGTTTCATACTTGTCAGTGGCAACCTTAATTTGCTCTCTACTAAAACGTCTCACCCCCAGGCTTGGCTTCCCATCAGTCTGATATTGGTCCTGGACAAGATTATGAAACGGTGGATATGGGACTTGATTAATAAAGAATTAAAGGAGAGTAATATAATCAATGCCAATCACCATGGGTTTAGGGAAAACAGACCCTGTCAAACTAACTTGATATCTTTTTTTTATGAGATTACAAGTTTGGTTGATAAATGCAATAGTGGTGGCATAACATACGTAGCCTTCTGTAAGGCACTTGACTTGGTACTGCATGACACTTTGATTAAACTAGAATTAACAAGGCACACATTAAATGGATTAAAAGCTGGCTAACTGATAGGTCTCAAAATACAATTGTAAATGGGGAATCATCGAGTGGGTGTGTTTCTAGCAGGGTCCCACAGAAATCTGTTCCTGGCCCTATGTTAGTTAACATTTTTCTCAATGACCTGGAAGAAAACATAAAATCATCACTGATAAAGTTTGCAGATGACACATAAAATTGGGGGAGTGGTAAATAGTGAAGAGGGCAGGTCACTGATACAGAGTGTTCTGGATCGCTTGGCAAACTGGGCACAAGCAAACAATATCATAGAACAATGGGTTAGAAGGGAGTGCAAAGGTCATCTAGTCTAACCCCCTGCCAAGATGCAGGACTTGTGTGTAAACCATCCAAGACAGATGGCTCTCCAGCCTCCTTTTGAAAACCTCCAGTGAAGGAGCTTCCACGACCTCCCTAGGCAGTCTGTTCCCTTGTCCTACTGTGCTTACAGGTAGGAAGTTTTTCCTGAGATTTAATCTAATATGAGTTTTAACGGGGCTAATTGTAAATGTATACATCTGGCAACAAAGAATGTCGGCCATACTTACAGGATGGGGGACTCTGTCCTGGGAAGCAGTGACACTGAAAATGATTTGGGGATCGTGGTGGACAATCAGCTGAACATGAGCTCCCAGTGTGATTTTGTGACCAAAAGAGCTAATGTGATCCTGGGATATATAAACAGGGGAATCACTAGTAGCAATAGGGAGGTTATTTTACCTCTGTTTTGGCACAGGTGCGAATGTTACTGGAATTGTGTCCAGTTCTGGTGCCCACAATTCAAGAAGGATGTTGATAAATTGGAGAAAGTCCAGAGAAAGCCACAAGAATAATTAAAGGATTAAAGGATTCAATCACCCTGACATCTGCTGGGAGAGCAATACAGCAATGCACAGACAATCCAGGAAGTTTTTGGAGAGTGTTGGGGACAACTTCCTGGTACAAGTGCTGGAGGAACGGACTAGGGGCAGAGCTCTTCTTGACCTTACAAACAGGGAAGAATTGGTAGGGGAAGTAGAAGTGGGTGGGAACCTAGGCAGCAGTGACCACGAGATGGTCGAGTTCAGGATCCGGACAAAAGGAAGAAAGGAGAGCAGCAGAACACAGACCCTGGACTTCAGAAAAGCAGACTTAGACTCCCTTAGGGAACTGATGGTCAGGATCCCCTGGGAGGCTAATATGAGGGGGAAAGGAGTCCAGGAGAGCTGGCTGTATTTTAAAGAAGCCTTATTGAGGGTGCAGGGACAAACCATCCCGAAGTGCAGAAAGAATAGCAAATATGGCAGGCGACCAGCTTGGCTTAACAGTGAAATCTTCGGTGAGCTTAAACACAAAAGGGAAGCTTACAAGAAGTGGAAATTTTGACATATGATTAGGGAGGAGTATAAAACTATTGCTAGATCATGCAGGGGTGTAATCAGGAAGGCCAAGGCACAATTGGAGTTGCAGCTAGCAAGGGATGTGAAAGGTAACAAGAAGGGTTTCTACAGGTATGTTAGCAACAAGAAGGTGGTCAGGGAAAGTGTGGGACCCTTACTGAATGAAGGAGGCAACCTAGTGACAGATGACATGGAAAAAGCTGAAGTACTCAATGTTTTTTTTTGCCTTGCTCTTCACAGACAAGGTCAGCTCCCAGATTGCTGCACTGGGCAACACAGTATGTGGAGGAGGTGAGCAGCCCTCAGTGGTGAAAGAACAGGTTAAGGACTATTTAGAAAAGCACAAGTCCATGGGTCCAGATCTAATGCATCCAAGGGTGCTGAGGGAGTTGGCTAATGTGATTGCGGAGCCATTGGCCATTATCTTTGAAAATTCATGGCGATCGGGGGAGGTCCCGGACGATTGGAAAAAGGCAAATATAGTGCCCACATTGCAAGGTATTTACGTGCTAGATATGCTAAACATTCATATGCCCCTTCATGCTTCGGCCACCATTCCAGAGGACATGCTTCCATACAGATGACATTTGTTAAAAATATAATGCGTTAATTAAATTTGTGACTGAACTCCTTGGGGGAGAATTGTATGTCCCCTGCTCTGTTTTACCTGCATTCTGACATATATTTCATGTTATAGCAGTCTCGGGTAATGACCCAGCACATGTTGTTCGTTTTAAGAACACTTTCATTGCAGATTTCACAAAACACAAAGAAGGTACCAATGTGAGATTTCTAAAGATAGCTACAGTACTTGACCCAAAGTTTAAGAATCTGAAGTGCCTTCCAAAATCTAAGAGGGATGAGGTGTGGAGCATGCTTTCAGAAGTCTTAAAAGAGCAACACTCCGATGAAGAAACTACAGAACACAAACTACCAAAAAAGAAAAGCAACCTTCTGCTGGTGGCATCTGACTCATATAATGAAAATAAACATGCGTCAGTCTGCACTGCTTGGATTGTTATTGAGCAGAACCCGTCATCAGAATGGACGCATGTCCCCTGGAATGGTGGTTGAAGCATGAAGGGACATATGAATCTTTAGCACATCTGGTACATAAATATCTTGCAACGCCGGCTACAACAGTGCCATGAGAATGCCTGTTCTCACTTTCAGGTGACATTGTAAACAAGAAGTGGGCACCATTATCTCCTGCAAATGTAAACAAACTTGGTTGTCTGAGCAATTGGCTGAACAAGAGGTAGGACTGAGTGGACTTGCAGGCTTTAAAATTTTACATTGTTTTATTTTTGAATGCAGTTTTTTTTACATCAGTCTACATTTTTAAGTTCAATTCCATGATAAAGAGATTGCACTACAGTACTTGTGTTAGGTGAATTGAAAAATATTATTTCTTTTGTTTTTTTACAGTGCAAATACTTGTAATCAAAAATAAATATAAAGTGAGCACTCTACATTTTGCATTCTGTGTTGTGATTGAAATCAATATATTTGAAAATGTAGAAAATATTTAAATAAACTGTATCCTATTATTGTTTAACAGTGTGATTAATCATGCGATTAATTGTGATTAATTTTTGTAATCACTTGACAGCCCTAATTTTAATACAACCAATATAAGGTCCTTCATCGAGGAACAAAGAATGGAGGCCACACAATCAAGATAAGTGACTTTATCCTGGAAAACAGGGACTGAGAGAGACTGAAGAAGTCCTTACGGATAACCATCTGAACAGGAGCTTGTTGTGCAATGATGTGGCTGAGAGGATGAATTTAATCCTTTGATTTATAAACAGGGGAAATCAAGTAGGGACAAAGAGGTGCACATTACCTCTCTAAATGGCATTGGTGAGACCATTACAGGAATACTGTGCACCGTTCTGGTGTCCACACTTCCAAAAGAATGTTGAAAACTTTGAGGGCTCAGATAAAAGCTACAAGAATGATCTGAGGTCGGGAAAACCTGCCATATAGTGAGAGATTAAAACAGATTGCAAGGTATTCAGCTCAGCAAAGAGACTGTTACAAGGTGGTTTACACACACCTACATGAAGAGAAGAGTGCTGATATATGAGGGCTCTTCAGTCTAGCAGAGAGTCAGAACAAGATCCAACGGCTAGAAGTTGACACGAGATCAATTCAGACTGGAAATAAGGTGGAAGTTTTTAGCAGTGAGGATAATTAACCACTGGGACAACTTCCCAAGGATGCGGCAGGTTCTCTCTCACTTGAAGTCTTTAGCTCAAGACTGGATGTCTCTCTCCAGATGACCTACTCTAGCTCAGTCACAAGTTACTGGGCTGGATACAGCAAACAGAAATCACCTGGCGAGGTTCTCTGGCCTGTGCTATGCTGGAGGTCAGACTAAATGAACATAATGGTTCCTTCTTGCCTTAAAATTGATGGCGTATGCCTCTCTACATTACATTCTGTCTAATTTCAGCTCCTTACTTGAAGCCACTGAGCAGTGCTGTTGCTCACTTTAAAATGCTGCCAGGTTCTGCCCCAGAAGTGGCTGCACTTTATCAATAAGTTATTAACTGATCGCTGGGTCCATAGTTTTTTATTATTATTTGTACTACAGCAGTGCCTAGAGGCTTCAGCCAAGCTCAGGGCCCCACTGTGCCAGGATGCCCCTGCCCCGAAGAGCTTGCAATCTAAAGACACAAGACAGGTAAAGACTGGGAGGGGAAAATGAGGCATAGAGAGGGGAAGTGACTTGCCCAAGGTCACACAGCAGCAGTGGCAGAGCCAGGAATAAAATACAGGTCTTCTGACTCCCAGTCCAGTGCCCTATTCACTAGACCACACTGCTCTCCAAGTACAGTGTGCTGCTCTCCGTAGGATGAACAGCCCTGCACTCTGAGGAGAAGGCAATGGTTTACTGAGTTCAGTGATGGTCACTTCACTATCAGAAAAATGACAAACAATTGAAGGGTGTGACCCCGAGATATGGTGGGGAATTGCCCATGGTGCTGCAAGGGGTATAGCTAGGAGTCGCCGGACAAATCGGAGCAAAGGAAAACGTAGACAAGACATGCAAGAGATGGAGGGCGAAACTGAAGCTGAATGTCAGGAAACCTTTGCTGTTGATAAGCTCTAGTCCAGTGTGGAACAGTTTGCCAAGGGCAGAGGTGGGAACTCCATTGCTTGGGACAGTTCCCGCTGGACTGGACAAAGTCCCAGGGAGGAGACGGTGAAGTTCTGGCTAAGGGTGTGACCAGCTGGCCCAAAGAGCTTTACTAGGCTTACAACACACTGGTACTCCGGTGTGAATAAACGTGTTCGTCTCACCTGCACGAGCCCGGGGTTCTCTGCGTTGTAAAGGCCCCGAATCTCCACGTGCTCCGGGACCAGTTTGTGCCCATACTCTGGCATCTCATCCCAGTGCTGCAGGACATACAAAGCCTTCTGCTCATCATATGCTGACAAAGTCTCGTCGTCCATTTCTCTCTTGTCTTTCACAAAGGCCTCTAGAACACAAGACAGCCAGTCAGAAGGATCTAAAGACATGTGGCCAACAATGATTACTAGAGCTGTAAGGGAGAAGGCTGGAGCATCCGAGCATACCAAACATCTATACAGAACAACGGAATGGGACGAAGAAGAAGGGGGGAGCTGTGTAGAGGAGAAGTGGTTAAAAGTCCCAGGGAGCTGCTTTTGAGGAAGGCAGAGTGTGGTGGAGAAATCTTTTGAGTAAAGATCCGACTAAAGAGAAACAAGGGAAAATGACAGTGAGCACCTACTACCCCACCCCCAGAACAGGAGAAGTGGGGGAACCGAAACTCCCAAAGCAGGATCCCTGCCCTCTGGGGGAGTTCAACTACCCAGATCTCTGCTGACCAGCAGGACACTCTCATGGGAGGCTGCATTTCACAGGCATATGTGGTGTTGGGAGAAGTGGGTTGTGGTGTTTTCCATATGCTGATAATACAAACTCTGCATGTTCAGCTCAGCCTATGCAGCTAAATCTAGCCTTACTCCATGTGTTAGTGAGACTGGGGCATGCATGAGGCACAGATGGCTCAGGCACAATCTAGATAAGCCTGAATGAGATGAAGGATAATGGAAAATAAAAGCACAAAGAAAACCCAGTCAGGAGAACTGTCAGTGTCGATGATGGACAGCTAGTCAAACAGCTGCATACAGGGACTGTCCGTTGTAGCTTCAATGAAAAATAAGCAGAGCTCTCTCAGGGGGAGTGTTAAAAGAAACAATCAAACCAAACCTAGACACATGGTCTGCGTGACAGGCTGACGCTCAGCAGGGCAGCTGGTCCAGGGGCTCAAGCACCAGCTAGGAATTTGTGTTTGGACTGCACAGTCTGGGCCACGTTCCCACTTGGTATAACTCCATTCTCTGTCTAATTAGAGGCCACATTATGAACCCCACTCACATTAGTGAGCAGTTACTCATATTTTGTGGGTAAACTCACATCAGTGACTGCTCACCAAAGTGAGTAAGGGGTTCACAATCAGCCCTTCAACTGTAAACTCCTTGGTTCAGGGGCCACATTGTCTTGTGTGGTCTGTGCAGCTCTGAACATGCTACTGGAGCTCCTCGGAACGTGCTAACAGTGGCTGAGTGGTTGGTCCGGTCAGTGAGGAGAGGGGGGCTCAGCGTGTACCCAAGACATGAGTCTCGCACAGCTGAAGGGCTGACAGAAGGCAAGAGCTGGTCACCCTTGAAAACACCTGGAGTTAACTCTCCCCCCAGACACACACGGTACCTTCAGGGAAAGCCTCAGGAGGGACCTTGAAGATCTTGTTGTTCACTTTGACCTCCTCCCGCCTGTACTCTGCGGAGGGGAGAGAGCTCTTCTTGCACAAACTCTCCAAGATCTGTGTGGGCTTGAAAGCATCTCGCCACATGTTATAGCCATCTCTGTGGGGAGGGGAGAGGAGGTTCAGACATACAGAATTCTCCTGGTGTAGCCATGGTAGATAATATTTATACTGGGATGTGAGAGCTGCCTCCTCTGGCAGACTCCACGAGGCAGGAAGGAACTGAGCGGAATTAAGGTGGTGCCACCTGATATAGCCAGAGAAGGGACTATGAGCACAAGGCACAAATGCCCCCCTTCCCTCCCCCACACGTACTGCTAGAAAAATTCCCTGGCTTCAGTGCACTGGGCACGCAAATACCTAAGTGAAATACACGGCTGCATCTACTTGACAAAGAACCAAGAATCTCTCCAGAGAGTCCTGTTGCCCTCTCTCCCAGGGCCACACTCCCCACAGCTTCTCTCACTCCCTCCTGGCTTCCTGCCTCTCACACACCCATGCCCCAGGCCCTGCATTTGCAGTCAATCCCCAGGGAAACCCCACAGCTCACATAACTTCTTCTCAGGCCTTGCCATCCTGCCAGTGCCTTGAGTAGTGGCTTATATTGTTTCAGCTGTCACTACACAAGGGAGCATTTAATTGCTCCCTCCATTTACATTGAACAAAAGGTGCTTAGCTCACCCATAAGCTTTAACCTTCAGCCATGTCTACACTTACAAGCTTACAGCAGCACAGCTGTACCAATACAGCCGTGCTACTGTCAGATCGCTCATGTAGCCGCGTTATGCTGACGGGAGAGAGCTCTCCTGTCGACATAATAAAATCAGCTCAATGAACGGCGGTAGCTAAGTTGGCCGGAGAGTGTCTCCCACTGACACAGCGCTGTGCACACAAGTGCTTTTGCCAGCAAAACTTATGTTGCTTGCGGGGCAGTTTTTTTTCACACTCTTGAGCAACAAAAGTTTTGCTGACATAAGTGCTAGTGTAGACATGACTCAAGTCTATGATTGACAGCAGCCATCAGCACCTGCCAGCATAACATCATCAGGGCTCCATACTACGTAATTAGAGTGCTCGAGTTCATCCAGAAGTGACGGGCTGGATGCAGGAAACACTGGATGAAACTCTCTGGCCAGTGTAATACAGGAGGTCAGGCTAAATGGTCATCAGGGTTCCTTCTAGCCTCAACATGGATGATTTTATGAAAGAAAGTCGTATATGCCATCCCCGTGGTCTGGAACGTACGTGTCATACTGGGAGGCCACTCCGCAGTTAGCTCGGTGTTTGCTGTAGAATCGGTTCTCCAAGTCAATCTTCGTCTCCCCAATTAGGTCATCAGACCCAACCAAATCGTGGTCAAATATTGAAACAGTGAGTTCTGATTCCATCGGAAAGGATATGCTCAGTTCCATAACTCTGAATACAAAGCAAAGAGACGCTCGGTCAGCAGAGATGCTGGAAATCAAGCATGTTTCCCTCCCTGCCCCGGGTCTGATGGCAGAACCCCATGTCTGTGGGCGCAGTGCTGGTGAGGCTCCGGTCTTCCTGCCCCACGGAACTCGCCAGCTCCTGAGCAAGCTGCCAGAAAGGAAATATCTAGAAGGGGCAGCACCTTCTCCTGTCTAGTTCCCTGCTCCAAACACATTGCTACGCACAGGGCTGGACACACCTGGTTCTGTAACCTCAGCAGGAGCCGGGCAACCCTGATCTGCAGGTCCTTTTACTTCAAATAGCTCATTGTACATCATTCCGGTGACTCTACTCTGTGTTTCAATGACAGTGGGTTATAATAGGCTGCCAGGTTACAATGGCCTCCCGTTACCTCCCCCTCTTTGGACAAGCTAAGTTTTCCACCCAGGGTACAATTCAGTGAGCCATCTGCACCACATTCACCCTGACTGTGTGTGCAAACCTGGGGGCACATCCAGGAGCACATTTGGGTGTGTGGAACTCTGTCCTCCATTTCTAAATGTTTGCCCCAAGGATTCCCTTGGAGATCAGACACTATAAATCATGGCCAAGCTCCAAATCCCATGATCCTAAGTCAGCAGCAGCAACACAGCGAGTGTCCCCACTGGAGTCACAAACACACAGATGTTCCTGCACTGTCACTATGTGTAATGCTCTCCTGGTTTTGGCTGCCAGGGTCCTGGGGTCTCCTTTCTCCTCACCATTTCTTGCTGTTCGAGAAGAGGCCTGGGGCTCTCCTTTCTTCCCCCTGGAAGAAGGGGTTTCCCTGCTCTCTGTTGCCTCCTGAGTGTAGGTTCTAGAGGGGTGAGGCTCCTATGCTGCTTTGCCCGTACATCAGGTATGGAATTTAGGGGTGCTCCTGTAGTCAACACCCCAGATGTTCTGCCCAGATGAGTGGAAGGCCAGTCAGACAAGTGCACCTACAGGAGCCCTGGGCAGAGCCTCTCAGAGCTGCTGATGTGTGGGACCAACTGGCTAATGTAACGGAGTCTCCAGTGGACAGAGAAAGGACCCCTGATGTCACATTGAGCCCAGAGTGTTGACTCTGTGCAACGACCCAGCCATCACCCTTTTCAAGATGCACCAGGGAAGAGGCTGTTCCCATTAAACCTGACCCGAGGTAAAGCCTGCTCCTTACTCTCCAAACACAGGATTGAGCTGCTTAGGGATGTAGCGGTCCTTTGTGTCCTTCTTCTCTTGCCCAAGTGTTACCACCACATAGGGATCTGCCTTGCCATTGGGGTCTGCCGGAGCCAGGTTCGTTGCCTAAAATACACAAGACAGGAGGTGCTGGGGCTGCCATTCACAGCCCCAGCCATGACGCCCAGGCCAAGTGAGAGCAAGTGCAGGGCACAGGGCAGCAGACGAGTTTCTGAGACGGAGCACTGAGACCTCTGATCCTGTCAGTCACAGGCAGCAGATGAATCTCTCAAGGACTCGCTAGTCATGTATCAGTACGGAAGCCCTTAGCCAGAGCGTGAGAACAGAATTGCCAGGTCATCTCTCAGGTACTACCTCTAGGCAGATCATGGGGAATGCCCCATCGGCAGTTTCAGTGCCCCTTGGAGGTACGGGAGTGGGCAGGTAGTTTCCCAAGGGAAGACGGTGGAAACCCCGGGACTTCAGACATTAGACTCTAAACTGGACAAAGCTCTAGAAAAGATCCTCTGGGGTCCAATGCTGCTATGGCCCAAACAGCTGGCTGGAAATGGAGCGACTAGCTGGGACCCAATAGCAAGGCCTTCTCCAGTCCCAGTTTTGCTGGCTCCATGAATACAGGCTGTGAGCTGGCCAGGGATTCTCTAGCTGCTGATCTGGACAAGGTCTCCAGGACTCACTGCAGTCACTTACCTTAACAATATAAACTCGGACAAGCACCTTGATGGGTCTGTTTCTGGGAACCCCCTGTGAGATCTTGTGCTCTGTACCTGCCTCCTCAGCAGGATAAACGAAGAATGAACCCTGCAGGGGAGACATTGAACAGGAACAGCAACATTGTAGGGATCAATACCCTGCTAGAGAAAATATTTCAAGCAAATTGCAATGCCCAGGATTCAATCCGTAGCACCGCCTTAATTGTGACAAATTGAAACTGGCAGATTACGTGTCTGTCTGTGCCCTGTGCCAGACCACACAGTCCCTGGCTTCTCAAGATAGCGCTACACAATGTGCTATGTTCCCAAAGAGATGGTCAGGGCCTCCCCCACACACTCAGCTCAGCAGACTTGATCTTCTTTCCTAAGAGACAGGCTAGTCTGCAGGGAACTTACCCCCAGCCCATGACAACCTGGGGCTGGCTGCAGAGGAGGGCAGGGAGCCAGGCTATTCACAGTTACCTCTCCTAACCACTCCCCTGAAGTCAGTCTCGGGAGCGGACACTTCAGGAGACCATGGGTGAGTGGAAAAGGCCTCCGCTGAAGGAAGGACTTTCAAAGTAATAGTACGAATTATAACTAATTATGTGTCATGGTAGCACACAGAGGTGCCAGCCAAGACCTGTACAGAGTCCCTATCCCAGAGAGCTTCCCATCTAAAGACTAGTGACACAAGTGTAACAAACAATCAGAGGGAGGAGAAGAACAGGAGTACTTGTGGCACCTTAGAGACTAACAAATTTATTAGAGCATAAGCTTTCGTGGACTACA